TCTTCTTATTGGTTCTGTTTGTCCGCTTATTATTATATTTTCTTTTCTCTTATTATCAGTGGGACCATTGTCATTAGGTTTAGGCCTGTTTTGGAACTCCACTTTAAATAAAGCCAAACAACAACAACAACAACATTCTGCTGCATAGTAAAGATCCCGGGGGTACAAACACTGCACAGTAAAGTTACCCGGGGGTCCATTAACTATACTCCAGTACTGTCGGTGGTACTTTTCCCCCGGGCCGGGGCCAAGCGCGAGTGGGGGGGGGGGGGGGATAGTACGTGCCACCGGCATGTCCTCGACGTCTATATATGGACGGGGACTCGTGAAGTCTCTATACATGTAATTTGTACTGCATTATTGTACTGCATTATTGCATGCAGTACACGTTGTACTCGATTTCATACTCGCAATGCCCAAGTGCATTGCTAGAAGGAGCTCCATGCTTGAGTGCATTGTCTGGAACGCACTCCGCCATGCAATAACGCACAACTCACAAAGTCGCATTACTCGTAGCGATAGGATTACATGGGTTTCATGTACTCGTGCATGTAACACGACCCTGGCGTGGCGGGAACTTGACTCTGTTTCCCCTTGACCAATGCCCTTTGGCCTGCCACCACAGTTCGGCCAAATCTTTGTCGGGGCATTCTTCTTGTCCCATGGCCGGCTACATGGTTTCCAAAATAAATTGTCCAAAAACCAGCGTTTTACTGGAGTGTGTGGTTGTGTGTGAATACATGTACCAAGATGGCGTACATGTATACGCAGGTTTCTGCCCACAATTTAGTACAACGTCTAGTGTAGCTTCTTCACCGGATGCTGTGAAAGGCCAAAACCGGTATGAACGCACTTTGACAATTTCCACCTTATTAGGCATCGCGCGCAATGCACACCTGACAAGGGTGTAGAGTGTACAGATCGTGGTACATGTACTTGTAGAACCGGACAGTGCTGAACGACACTTACGTAGATCTGCTAGTCTCCCGGTCTATTAGTACATGCAAGAGTACATAACCCCCAGAGTGTGCAACTCCACTATAGGTGCTGTCACTGCTGTGTCTGCTGTCCCGACAGAATTTCAAGTTGACGTCATTTTGATGATGCAATGCGCACTGTACACGGATTATCAGACGAATCCGGAACCTGTGGTTGACCGAAGCCGATCGATCCTGTACAAATTATTGCAAAGAAAAACGTGTGATGCGTTGACACCCGTACACATGTTGTAAATCACTGCTGCAAGGAGCATTGCGTCATAAATAATGACGTCATCTTGAAATTCTGTCGGGACAGCAGGGTATGTGGGAGTTGCACACTCTGGGGGGGGGGGGGTCATGTACTCTTGCTACATGTACATGTAGGTCACATACACACGCATGTACAGATACGTAGACCTACCAGTGGAGTGGGGTATAGTTGGTTCTCTGTGCAAAAGTGGCGCGGTCAAAGCTGTGCATATTATAGTAGTGATTGTGGCCTGCGCGACGCCCCCAAATCTTTCCAGACGAACCATTCCAATTCCAACAACATAGATTCAAAGAAAGGAATGGTGCGGTCTTTCGGTGACACCGTTTAGAGCATCAGAGTTTGTATCCTCGCTACAGTGTCGATATTCTTGTGCCAAGCTTTGTCTTTGGTGCCAAGCAGCGCCTGCAGTGACTGTGGAAGTTTCAGTGGTGGATACTATTACCTAGGCAGCGCATGAACATCAAGATGTCTGTAAGTCTACTTGTCTTTGTACATACTAGTAGTAGTACTGTTCGTTCAATCAAATGAACCCCTCGATAGGCACATTGCCTTTGGGTCATTTCATAATAATACTTTATACTTTAAATACTTCAAGTGCGTGAACCGAAGCATACCATGCTAAGGCACTCTCTATGCTAGTGGATATCAACAGCCAGTGCAATGCTAGGAATGTGGTTTGTGGGTCCATTGTTATCAGGCTTATGCCCTTTCGAACTTCTAATATAAAATAAAGTACAAAACTACACAGGAACATACATGTACATGTATATGTATCTACAAGTATCAAAAGATTGGTATTCCAGAATTTTCACGCTTATATATGGGCCAAGAGCGCCGTGTGGAATGGTGGAGTGTTTCAAAAGCTATGTATAATGTTGTTTGTTTGTTGTTTGTTTATTTACGGATTCTCCAGAGGTAAATGGATACCTATCATGGGAGTCTCACCAAACCAATAAAATAATGAAAATAAAATTATGTATGGAGCGCAAAAAACTCAAAATCTGAGATTTTCTAAGTCAAAGGAGAGGGAAACCAATAGATTGAGAACCAGATGTACTACTGTTTACAAATACAATAAATAAATAAGTTTAACCTGAAGCAAATAACCCAACAAAACCAACCAGCACACTGATGTTGATCTACTGCCACTGCTGCTAACTTTTTTTCTTTTCTTCTTTTTTTACTGGGAACACGTCCCTACAAAGAAACATGTGGAGACAAACACAAAACAAGACACAGGGGATGTAGGGACGACGTGCAGATGTACAGGGAGGAACTCGACCGACGCGACCAGAGGTCTCGGCGTTAGCGTTGCAACCTGGCAAGACAAAAAGGAGGTTGCATGGTCGTAGCAAAAATAATAAGATGGCACGGTTTGTTGTTGTGGTGTTAGGTTGTGTTCGCTCGTCTTCGTTGTTGCTGTTATTGTTCTTGCTCTTGTGCGGATCTTTGTTATTATGGTTGCTGCTTCTGCCGCCGCCGACCGCCTGTGATTTTCGTTGTTACCTCATCACCACATCTGCTTCTCTGTTGCCGATATCCTTACTTTATCCCGGCATGCTCTCAGGCGATTCATTACCAGCTAAGTGTTTCCTTTCTTCTACTAGCGTTGACAACCAGTCTGTGTGAAGGTAAGCGATCGGGGAAAAATTATATTTTCAGAAATATTATTCGAAACTCGGGTTTTTGAGCCCAAAATAAATGTAGAAAAGAAAAAGGACATATGGAAACGAGTTCAGTACATGAAACTCTCCACCACTGTAACCAGATAATATATACAGTCAGAAAGTGCAACAACTACTTCAGTAGGCAAAAAACTGACAGAGTAGTGAGACTGTATATAGTATCTAGTTTCAGTGGTGGAGAGTTACTCTTAACTCGTTTCCATATGTCTGTTTTCTTTTCTACATATAGAAATAGTATTGTTGACGTTAGCGTGGAGAAAGGCTTAACTATGTCATGTTTTAGAAAAATGTCAGAATATCAATATCTTGGACCAAATGATGCTATTGTTCACTATTAAAGAATGCCAATGGATGCAATTTTGGTCATTCGAACTATTAATTTTGAGTGGCCTGCTCAGAGTGTACTCGCCGATTGTTCGTCTGACCGCAATAGAAGCAGCTCGTTTTTAATGCAAAAAGGGTTTACAAGGTGAGAGCCTCCTGAGCGAGTGATCCTAAACCTACCTTTTTGAAAGCAAACGTAGGATAATCCTGATTGAGTGGACTCGTATGGACAGTCATGGGTACATGTATAGAAAAGAAGAAGAAAAAATAACTGGTGGTGTTATTGCATTCCCAACTCATCGCAACCACGCGCTGGTGGTGTTAGTGGAAATTATCACTCCCTTAGTATTGACTCCCATAGATTTTTGCCATACCTAAGCAGTCAAATATTCCTGCATATTTCACTCCTTAGGGCTATATTGACTGCTTATATTTGACTGCTTATGACTTCCGCAGTCGAACGGTGCCTAGTGCAGCATGGTCTGCGTCACTGTATGAGTAGGTTTTTGGTGCAACGGTTGTGCAATCATAAAACCGGGATTCATGAGGTCATCGTTCTGGAATTTGAAATAGCATTTGACTGTTTGCCGTAATAAATCTAATATTGACTTCGTACTTGGTCAGTATAGGAAATAAAAACCTCGTAAAAGATCTCGGCTTCGCCTCAGTCTTTTACTCGGCTTCTATTTCCTATATTGACCTAGTACTCAGTCAATACTAGATACTTATAGAGCAACTTACAGTTCCTTGGTCCTTTTTCTTTCTATGACTCGTGTTTTGCCTTTGTTGCATATTTTGTGTTTTTACCAAAACTAGGCTTATAGGTTGTCGGTTCAGCGTACAGATAAAACATAAAGGAATAGGGGAGATGTAAAGGGGAAAGTCTGTTAAGATACGGCGGTAGGAGGTATCAGAAAGGTCGGTTGCTCTCAGTGCTGCATGCACGCTCCTCGGCTTTGCCCGGCGACTGGACTTCACTTGGCTGACCCACACCTTTCATTCACAGAACAAAAGACGACCATCTAACACCTTTGTCTTGGAAAACGACTAGAAAAAAACAGCCACTAATTACTCAATATACCATGTTTCGGGGAATTGCATGCACGCTCACAAAAGCTGTGCCCACAATTGATTTTTTCTTCCCTTGCCTGTGATCATCGTCATGCACCATCACTAGTGGGAAAATAGGCCCTCGCACAGATGATCTCATCGACGCATTGATGTTTGTTTGCTTAGCTTTATTTTACTTCACCAGAAGCACAGGCAAAATCTGCCTTCTCACTGAGCGTATTGCCACAGTTCTCGCAAAATGATGAAGAGAGTGATAATGATAAGAAAAGGAGGAAGAGGAAAATACAATTATGAACACAGCACAAAGAGAAACGGGAAACAAATCAATGAGGGAGTACTGTACTACAAGTAATGGATTTGAATTTGATGAGGTGTTTCATAAAAATGATGCACATTGATCTTGGGATTCTCGAACACCATTTTCAGCCAATATCATAGTGCTTGCATAAATATGAAAAATGGCATAGGCTGGCAAAGGTCTTTTCACGAAACTATCATATTCTAGCTTGTTGGGTGCAAAATGTGCTTTTGCTCTTCCCAATCTTAAATGAATACATTGATGTCGGTAAGTTAGCTTGTCTCCCCGAAATTATCCCTTTACTGCTGATGAATTGTCTGACACGTGCAGTTCTTGTGTCGATGCACCGCATGTTTTTAGCCCAATTTACAATGTCACTGACCTCCGATTACCAGACGAATACCAACCATACGCGTGAGCCGCATAGACATGCAACTGATCCCTACACACTGCTAGAGAACTCCACAGCACCACTGCACATCGCCAATGTCTATTGCCAGGTCCAGGCATACGCGTTCTACTACAACAGGGCCGGCATTCCACTGACCTACGGCGAGTCAATTTGGTTCTTCAATGGAATCCGCATCACGAATGGCAGCCATGGTTTTACCGTCATCACTGACACTGTAGACGGCGGCGCCGTTTTGAATGGAGAGTACCGCACCGGCAGTAAACTGGTATGGCCGTCACGTATCACCTCAGACCTAACTGGGAACTATACGTGTGCAATGGGTAGGGTATCCCGAACTTTCCGAATACGTGTTAAAGGTCAGCTGAAGCTAAATTCTACTGCTTTTCTTGTCATGAAGTTGATTGTTCCAACTAGGAACACACGCTTCTTCCTAGTTGGAGCAATCAACTTCATGACTATTACCGCCGAGGTCGCAACTTCTAAGTTTGCTTTTCTTGTGTTAAAAATTCTTGCACGTTCCAACTTACTTCAAAGAGAAGTACAAGTATCCTGCGTGTAATTGTTGTACCTTGCAAACGTTTCCAATTAGACTTTTGATCCTCTCCTTTATTCTATCTTTAAAGTATTCTTTAATCAGAAAAGAAAAGGACATATGGATACGAGTTAAGAGTAACTCTCTCTCTCTCTCTCTCTCTCTCTCTTAACTCTCCAAGAGTAATATTTATTTATGGCTCAACATCCGAGTTTCAAAAATTCTTGATTCTTTTGTGATTTGTTTCTTTTGCATGTTGATAAGAAGAAAGAAACGGTAGAGTGTCAACTGATCAAAATAGGCATCAGTGGCTGATGTTTGCACTCTAGCCAGCATAAAACGGTGAACTTTGTGAAGGGGGGGGGCTGGAATATTTAGCAAGTTTGAATGGCAGTGAGATTTGAGAGCCCCGAAAATGACTCTGGTTCAGATTGCACTGAGCACAGCTGTGGTCTGTTGTGCAGCTCGCTATGCTAACAATGACGACGTGTTCTAATGTCGTAGTGTTTTACTTCTTGCGAGATCCGAGCAAATCAGTTTCGCTTTTGAATTGTCTGAAAGTTGCCCAAACGATACTGCCACACTGTATTTCACCTGTCTGCATGCATGTTTTCGTCTTGTACAACGCAACGCTTAGTGTGCTCCACCTGTCTGCATGCATGTCTTCGTCGTGTACAACGCAACGCTTAGTGTGATTCATTGTAAGAGAAGGGGGTGCATGCAGTATCTCTTCAGATTAGTACCTTCATCCATACGACCGTGGTCTTGCCCTGAAATTTTAATTGTAATCACCACTGAGTATTCGCCCTTGTGCCTTCATCAAGATACAAAATGGAAATAAGGCTGGCTCAGTTGTAGCATACATTATTTCAAGCACAACAACAATGGCGTAAAGAACAATTGTGTGAGCTTCGCAGTTGATTCTCGTACTTTCTCTCTCTCTCTCTCCGTCTCCCTCCCCCTATCTTTCTTTTTGTCTGTGTTACACGCATAACTTTTAACAATCCTGAGGTCATCTGACCATACGGTAGTCCACACTTCGTCTCCTGCAATGAAGATGCATGCTAGTGCAAACAGTAACAATCTGTACTGTACCAGTTACATGTACTTGTTCAAGTGGTGGTCGATGGGTCACGTGACTGCAGGCGCGCAGCTACATGTACATGCACATGTACATTGTATGTCGTCACCATGCTACCGTTCTGCGTCTGTACGTTCCCGTGTTCTTCATTCTTTGCTTTGTGCTCACAGTGCCCGCAATGGTCGTCTATATCACGCCGACACAAGTGGTAAAAGAGGGCAGTGCTGTCAGCTTGGACTGCCGGTACAGGGGAGATGAGCCAATGACAACAACCTGGTTCTTCAAGGGCACGCAGGTGGCAGCATTTGTTTCGCCGCAACCCAACTCACTGAGCATAGGAGCATCGTCGCTGGCAGAGTCTGGTAACTACACGTGTACCGTGAGCAATGCAATCAGGAACGACACTAGGACAATCCAGCTCACCGTCACGCGTACGTTACTGACATTATGTCTTCAGTTACCATGTCTGTGTTACCAGGATAATATTATTGTCATGACCCTCAGTTAGGCCCATTCGCTTTAAAAATATTAATTCGGTATTATGCGAGCTTTTGCCATAATATTATTATGACATTTGTTGAAGGTCGATTGGTCCCATAATTATACATGCACTTACGCCTATGGCACCCTCAGAATTTCCCACCTTGCTCCCCATTATGTTCTAGCTGCCCGTTTTGGATCCATCAGTTGCCTGATGATCGTAGTAATACGTGAAACTCAGAGTTGTAACAAAGCTTCCAAACTCTCTCTTGTGTACATGCACTTAAGTACATGTATGTGTATGGGCACACGTGCTTTTACTTCAAAGTAGTTGTACAGTCGTCCCTCTCTAATCCGGCACTTTATAATCCAGCACCCTCGATAAACCAGCACGATTTTCAGTAGCCAAAATGTCCTCTTCATGCACATTGCAGCAGTAAATCAGATTTGTTAATCCAGCACCCTCCCTAATCCAGCAGATTTTCGTGGCACAAATGGTGCCGGATTATAGAGGGACCACTGTATTACCATTGTGGAAATTGGAAATTGCACATTAATTACTGTAAATATGGTATATTATGGTAGCTTCCGCGCGGGATTGGGTTCGCTTATAAGCCCATACGCGTATAGATGAATGTGCGCTTATAACCGGATATAAACACGTGAGCTTTGTGCACGTCGCTACGGTCACTACACAAAGACTACGTTCCACGTCCAAGATGGACATATCGACGTTTACACTACACAAAGACTACGTTCCACGTCCAAGATTGACATATTGATGTGTATACTACACAAAGACTACGTTCCACGTCCAAGATGGACATATTGACGTTTACACTACACAAAGACTACGTTCCACGTCCAAGATGGACATATTGACGTTTACACTACACAAAGACTACGTTCCACGTCCAAGATTGACATATTTGACGTTTATACTACACAAAGACTACGTTCCGCGTCCAAGATGGACATATTGACGTTTACACTACACAAAGACTACGTTCCACGTCCAAGATGGACATATTGACGTTTACACTACACAAAGACTACGTTCCACGTCCAAGATGGACATATTGACGTTTACACTACACAAAGACTACGTTCCACGTCCAAGATTGACATATTTGACGTTTATACTACATTATCACCTGGCCCTGGCACTAACTTTCCATTCATGGTCTGGAATCTGAGATAGAAAAACATGTGTGTCTTTAGTGCAGAGATCAGTGCCGCCCAAATACAGAAAGAGCATTGGAGACTGCGATCTCTCACTTCCTGTTCTCATTGTGCACTTCTCACTCGTTTTGTTTTCGCTTTCTGGCAGGCCTCCGATGCACTGATGATCCGTTTCTCTGTGGCCTCAACACCCAGTGTGTGCCATCTGAGCATAGCTATCGATGCGAGTGTTCGCTCCCTTCCTACACGCTGCCTGGTACCCCTGCTATTCCCGGAAGGCAGGGACGTCCAAGTGAATGCCTGAACTCATGTAAGAATTCTGACTAAGGACGTAGGCGTTTTATTCTATATTTCCACGATGGCCTATGGTCAATAGGAAAGATAACAAATTATTTATTATCAGTCTACAATCATACAAAATCAACCCAGCAAACGGAGTTGTTGTTGCTGTTCATTTCGCTACTCTTTCTTTTTCCCTCCCCTTATTTTTGGAAACGATAATTGGCAATCACCCACTCATTGGCCGGTGTTTCCACCGATTCTTGAGATTTTGTAATAAAATTAATATAAATATAAATATAAACGATTAATAGATCAAAAAGAATGGTTTCACCAATTATAGAAACATACGTTGTAACGCTGCGTTTCATGCACGTAGCTAAATGCTAAGGCAATCATCAGACAACTGTTGTCTGATGATTGCCTTAGCATTTAGCTACGTGCATGAAACGCAGCGTTACAACGTATGTTTCTATAATTGGTGAAACCATTCTTTTGACCTTTGTGGTTACGCTCCGCCCCTGTGGTGTTGAGCACTGTTGAAACCTGGGTATACCCACTTATGTATTGTATTGTATTGTATTGTATTGTATTTATTTAAAAGGATTCTCCAAAAGCAAATGGATGCTTATCACGGAAGTCTCCCACATAAATATCGCAAGAAAAATGGGGAAATGGGGAGAGGAGAGTGGAAGATGAAGCATGGGAAGAAGGGAAACAAGTACCTAAATATCGAGGTATAAAAGCAGGAAAGAAATCGACGAGGGAAGAAATCACCTCTGCAGATAATAGCGGGACATTTAGATGAAAAAAAACCCAGCAAGGATTAATTTCAAGGAAAAAAATTCTCAAACGGAAAAGTTCGGAATTCCAGTCAGAGAATATCTATGCTGAGAGTAATGAGCCTTTAGAGCAATGCGAAAATTGACAGAGGACTGAACGCAGCGGATGTGTTCTGGAAGTTTGTTCCATTCCACAGATAAACTGAAGAGAGGGGATTTAAGGAAATGGGCGCCAGAACGAGGTAAAACTATAGAGGACGGGTGACGACAACTAAGGGATACATTGAATTTGAAACGAATTAGCAAAGACGGAAACTGGTAAAACACATGATGAAAATACAGCAAGGACAGAATCTGACGACGCCACTTCAGGGATGACCAGTCACAAGTACGATTAAGAATCTGCTTCGGAGTTTCCCACTCAGGAGGGTGCCGGGTCTTACAAAGCAGATATGAACGAGCAGCAACGGCTTGCAGTCGGTCTAACGTAAGCGAATCTGAATGGGATACGGCGAATGACCAGACAGGGACTGCGTATTCTAACAGTGGTCGTACGTAACACTTGTAGAGCAAATTCACGGTTGAAGCAGAAAGGAAATGGGCCATATGGCGCAACAGAAAAACACGACTGCGAAACTTATGGGTGATAGATTTTATATGGTCAGAAAAATTTAGTGAAGGAGTGATAGTCACGCCGAGATGACAGTGGCTATCACCTTTCTGAATAGGCACACCGTTCATTGTCAAGGGGGATGACGGGCCGGGGGCTAATGCATATTTTTGAAAGGGTAGGTGGACGCATTTACTGGTGTTAAACGTCATGGCAGTAGCTGATGACCATTGACAACACTTATCAATGTCAGTCTGGAGCAATGCATGATGGATAGGAAGTGAGGTGTTTGCTGGAGAAACAAGAATTAAATTAGAGTCATCAGCAAAAAGGGATAGGGTACTAGAAGCAGGGGCATCAGGAAAGGAGTTGATGCACAGGTTAAAAAGAAGCGGGCCGAGATGGGAACCTTGGGGTACGCCAGCGGTGATGGGCAAAGGGTCAGAAAGAGTTTGGCCAATGCGAACGCAAATACTACGATCACTGATAAAGTCCTTCACCCAAGAACAGGCAGAAAGAGAACACCAACCTGAAACAGATTGAATAACTAAATGATGACTAACTCTGTCAAAGGCCTTAGAAAAATCAAGGAACAGCTGGTCACAAGAAGACTTAGAGTCAAATGCACGCGAAACAATTGAGGTAAGCTGTACCAATTGGTCAACTGTTGACCTCTTTCGACAAAAGCCAAACTGGCTGGAACTGATAATTTTATGGCTCTCAACAAACGAGTAAAACTGACGGCTAATCATAGACTCATACAATTTGGCAACTGCATTTAACAGCGATATAGGACGGTAATTGACTGGGTGAGAAGGATTACCTTTTCCCTTGAACACAGGTACAACAACGGCAGATTTCCACTCCCTGGGCTGAGTACTGGACAGCAAGCAGCGGTTGAAAAGGGCGGAAAGAGACTGTGACGTGACCTCAGCTGTTTCACGAAGGATGCGATTGTTCAGCAGTCCAGCGGTTTTACGTTGAATGGGAAGTCTGGATAGCGTGTCAAATACGGACTGCACAGAGAATGGTTGTATGGAGAACTTCACAGTGGACGTGGGTGTTAAAATACCAGCTGAGTGCAGGTCAGGTGTTAGCAGTGGCGCCTGGCTGTAGCTCGCAAACACTTTGGCTAGGAGATTCGTCTTTTCCGTATTACTCGTGGCTGGGTAGGCTTGGTTGTCATGGTAGAGGTCAGGGATAACCGGAGACGGGCGATTCACATTACAAAGGATCTTTGCTTTGCGCCACCATGTACGAGTTCCATGATGCTGAGCCATGTCTCTCGCCATCCTCTCGTGATAATGGCGTTTCGCCTTCCGGAGCAAGGAGGTAAGACAGTTACGTGAGAGTCTATACGCTATCCAACTATCTGTAGATCCGAGACGTTTGGCCTTGGCGAAAAGGCGATCCCGAAGCCGCCTCTGACGATGGTGAACAGCAGAGTACCAAGGCTTGTTTGATGGAAATGTGCTTCTCCGGACAACGGGAACAAACAACGATACAGAGTCTTCCAGCGCTGTGCGCCACAATGACCAGGCCTCATCAACTGTTTGCGCATTTTGGACGGCATCTAGCAAGGGTAGTTGCCACACGTGGTTGTTAAATGCTTGCCAGTCCGTGTGGGCAAAGTCGAGCCAGGTGTTTTGTGCAGAAGATATTTGGGCTGTGGAGCCTGCTGATCGGTTGTGGACGACATCGAAAACTACAGGACAGTGATCAGATACCGGTGGGAGGATGGTGAGATGGGAGACTGCTATTGGAGCATTAGTGATAACTAGGTCGAGTAGTGATGAACTCTTACCACTTGCGGAGTAGCGGGTAGGCTGTTGATCCACAAGTTGCGATAAGCCCAGATCATCCAGGGTGTCATACATGCATGTACCAGCAGGTGTATCAGGATCGGATGCTAGCCATTTCGAGAGGCGAGCGTTAAAGTCGCCAATGACAAATATGGAAGCTTGAGGACAAGATATTGATTGAATGCAGGTCCGGAGTGCGCTGCAGAACTGATCAGGTGGCTGCCAAGGAGGACGGTAACAACAGAACACAAACGTGGAGTTGGGGCGATGCTCTAGTTCTATGCACACAATTTCAATGGTTGGATCAGCAGGCTGAAGATCTGGACGATGTTTGGTAGCATGGGAAATGGAAGGGTGGAGGAGGAATGCCACTCCACCTCCACGTCGCACGGTATTGTTGTGACGGTCATGCCGGATAATTTTGTATTCAGCTGACGGTGTTAATATTGAACTTGTGATATCAGGAGTCAACCAGGTTTCAGTTATGCCCAAGATATCTAGTTGAGATGTGCAGAATAAGTTTTTAATCTCATCAGCCCGCTTCAGCCAGCTGCATGCGTTAACTGTGCAGATCCTGATACTCGACGGAGACTTCATATCAGGAATACAAGGTGAAAAATTGAAAGTCAAAGGGGGCGGTTGGAGTGGTGGAGCAAGAGGGTTCAGTGCGGTCACTTGCGATTGTCGGCCGGGAGAGAACGGGGCTGCATTTGGGTTAAGAGTAAAAGCGTGTGGTGATGTGGGAAAAAAGATGGGTGCGTGTGGATTCAACATCACAGTTTATGATTTCTTGGGGAGGGGTGGGTTCTTGAACTTCCATTCTCGTGCTGTTACATGCTCGGGCCAGAACTCGTTTTCCAGAACATTTCTTTCGTCATGCTCAGCAACTGTAAACGATTAATAGTATAAGTGAAGCGGACATTACGAAATGATGAATGAGAATACATGTATCAAAATTGATGTTCCAAATCGATTTTCTTGAGACTATCATCAGGGAAAAATCGTCTCACAAAAGAGGCTATACGGAGAAACAAACTACTTATAGGTCTATGGGATAGTGGGAAGTATACAAGGTGTATACAAGGTGAGGTATAAGGTGAGGTGCGATTTTCCCCTGATGATAGTCTCAAGAAAATCGATTAGGAACATCAATTTTGATACATGTATTCTCATTCATCATTTCGTAATGTCCGCTTCACTTATACCGGTACTATTAATCGCCTTAATAAAGGTATTGTCTCCTCGTCGCCTATTCATAAATATAAACATTACTTTTTTTAAAGTAAGGAAGCCTACGAATTTCAGAGGGGTGGGGTTACAAATTACTTACAATGGCTTGTAGTATGAGCTCCATTCTAAACACATATTCCTGGTGCATGCAGGATCTATTCTTTGACATTAACCCTTTACCCTTTCCCATCATACTGCTATACATGTATATGCGCACTGGTTTAAGATGGACTCTTAATTGTTTCAAACTTAGTATCGCAACTTGGATAAAGGCATGTGGCGTCTAAACAAACTCTTGTAAACCACGGCTCATTTCTACAGTCATACAATTGATGTGTGTGCAATTGTGCCCTCACGGTTGGCGCATTCACACAATTTTTTTTTTTTACTAGAGCCACGTAAACCCGTCATGTGTGAGCCATGAATAAGGGGAGTGGTGGCGTGCTCTGGGATGCTCTGCCGACCTTGGGTCTCGGCTTCATCACAACCAGGCGCGCCAATAGCAGAGAGAGAAAGAGAGAGAGAGAGAGAGAGAGAGAGAGAGAGAGAGAGAGAGAGAGAGAGAGAGAGAGAGAGAGAGAGAGAGAGAGAGAGAGAGAGAGAGAGAGAGAGAGAGAGAGAGAGAGAGAGAGAGAGAGAGAGAGAGAGAGAGAGAGAGAGAGAGAGAGAGAGAGAGAGAGGGAAAATAGAAATAGAACCGTATATGTCATTCACGCGCAAGTTACACGCTAGTGACAATGAACTGCCTATGACAATACAGAGTAAGTTATCGTCCCAGTTCCTGAAGGGAATTCACGACAGCCGCTAACACCCGGTAATCCCTGACTACATGACTGTACTGCATAGAACACTTGGGAAATGCGTGGACAATTGAGGCTCTTCCGTTTCAACTCCGTCAAACCCTGAATAAAATGATACTTTGAAATTTGAACATTGTCCGTCGATCTCGACTACAATAAATCCGCATGTACAAAATGCGAAGCTACATTTTTAGCGAACCCTTGCTGGTACGTTCTGTTTACCTGATCTCACACTAACGTCCTATCTCTACTTTTCCACAATATCCTTTATAAAATATTTTATTCAAAGTGGGTCCAATGTTAGTAGGCATTTTGCCTGTTTTAATTTCCACTATAAATAAAGTATACAATAACGAACTTCTGTTTCAACACTCTTCCTAGATGACTAGATGTACACACTCACGTCCAGCACTCACTTTCCTGTGTTCCTTCCTCACGCTTCTCCCTCGCATATACCCACTCTGGTGTTTGTGGGATTGTGTGCGTGTATGTGTGTTTCTCTATCGGTCTGTCTGTGGATGTGGGTGTGTGTGTGTGTGTCTGTGTTTGTGTGTATGTGTGTGTCTGTGTGTTGGTGTGTGTGTCCGTGTGTCTGTGGACATGTGTGTTGGTGTGTGTCTGTGTGTGTGTGTGTGTCTGCGACTGTGCAAATGTTTTCCTATTTAACATTGTCAAACAGATGACACGGACTACGATAGCACCATGGGACTTGGTGAATCACCTACGTCCGCCAACGAAGCCATGGCGCAGTGCCGTGGCGCGGACAGCAACATGTTAAGCAATCCTCTGACAGAGTCTACTAGCGTCACACATGATTTAAGGGAATATGTCAGGTTTTCAGAGCTCAGTTCATCTGCGAGGGTGTGGGTAAAGATCCAATCCGGAATTCAATCTATTGGCTTTCAAATGGTTGACAGTTTGCTTCCTCCGAGTCGATGGGGGACAGCTCACTCATTGTGCATAGGTAAGAACAATTACCTTGATATAACGCATTTCTAAAAATGACCTGTTTGTATGTATGTCTGTCTGTTTGTATGTATGTCTGTCTGTCTGTCTGACGTCTTACAATCTGTCTGTCTTTCTGTCTGTTTGTCTCCCCTTGTCTGTCTGTCCATTTTACGTTCTTTCTATAATAATATGTCTGTCTGTATGTCTGCATGTACATGTATGTATGTCTGGCTGGCTGCCCGCCTGACTGCCAGTGTGTGTATGTATGTGTGTGCGCCTGTCTGTCTGCCTTTCAGTCAGTAAGTCTGTCTATCTGTATGTCTGGCTATCTGTATGTCTGTCTGTGTGTATGTTTGTCGAGTCACGGTGAAGTATTCTACCTGTTCTGTGATTCGTCCACATCTGTGCTTTATTGTTGTTGTTGAGCTTCTATTTATACTAAAAATAAATTTTAAATTTTAAAAATTAAAAATTAAATAATAAATTAAATTAAGTATAGTCGTTCAACCAAACAGGAAATGGTGCCTTCTCACATGGAGACGACTTAGAAGAGCCGAGGGCAGAAAGAGAGTGGGTAGGGGAGAAAAACAGGCATGGAAGGGAGATAGAATGCAGAGGATAATGTAGTATAGATTAAGACTCTCTCTCTCTCTCTCTGCTATTGGCGCGCCTGGTTGTGATGAAGCCGAGACCCAAGGTCGGCAGAGCATCCCAGACCACGCCACCACTCCCCTTATTCATGGTTCACACATGACGGATTTACATGGCTCTAGTAAAAAAAAGAAAAAAAAGAAAAAAGGAAGCAGGAGTAAGATCCAGATCTTTTGCACGTACAAAAAGCGGTTTAGGCAACTGGGAGAATAAGGAGGTCTTGCGAGCGCAATGCATCAACCACTTCTTCTCTCCCAATGCATCGAAGTTCAGCCGAGAGACTGTTTCACAATACCCTTCCCACAAACTGGATTGACGATCGGCCATAAGGGCCTCTGAGGAAGGGTATTTGCAGGAGAATGAAGGAGTGACCACGAGTGATGCGGTGGTTAGTCGGGCATGCTGCATTAACCCTTTGGAACCCAAAATTATCCTGACAATTGCATGCAACTGCAATTGCGACATTTAATTAGACTAAAGAAATTGTCGAAAAGGGGACTTGTAGCAGACTGGATACGGCTTTGGAAGATTACTAATAGTTTTAGTCTAACGTTATAATTATTTGAAGTATGTGGACGAGAGGAAGGACGAGTGTCTGTGCAAGCAAAGAAGCGGTAGAGGTAGCCGTTGGTGCCAACAAAATAGACCAGACCCGGTACCCCTACCTTGGTCATACGCTCCAGACGACCGAGTGCATGCTGAGAAAGAGCTGGATGGACTGTGGACTGGATCATGCCAATGTACCAAGTGCGGCGGGCATTCACTGTCAGGCCATGTCCATGCCGCCATAGCTTACCGATTGCTTGTCGGGCTTTCCGCACCTGGTGATTGACATGTATATCCCAAGCCATGTGGTCATCCACGTGAACTCCAAGGTACTTCACACAATGTAAAGCTTGTCGAACGTCCTAAACACACCGTACTGGATGGCGGATGTCTTGCAGACCACGGGGCTTTATGGACATAACTTGTGTCTTCGTGGTGTTTAAAAGTAGGCGTAGATCAGCCAACCACCAGGCAGAAACACTAGTGAGTCCATCAGTCAGAGATGAGCATACGGCTAGTGCATCACGACTGTGTTCGACTACATCCTGTGTTCGACTACATCCTGTGTTCGACTACATCCTGTGTTCGACTACATCCTGTGTTAGACTACATCCTGTGTTTGACTACATCCTGTGTTCTGTACGTCTCGTCGTGTGTTCGTCTACTCATCTGTCTGTCAGTCTATCGGCACTACAGTCTGTTTTTCGGTCAATCTGTCTGTCTGTCTGTCTGTCTTAGCCATTGGCGGACTATGCTCGGCCAATCGTCAAATTATGCTTTTGATTATGCCACAATTATGCTGAATTATGCTCCGTTCCACTATGTATTCATGCTGTGCATAGAGGATTGAGAAACCACACAACACACACGGCCATGCCCTAAGCATAATTTTTGCCTTAACCGAAAGATTATGCCGACCTTACGCGTTGGAATTGGAGCATAATCTTTTGACGAAACCCCCTGTAATAATAAATCCCAAGATTATGCCAAATATTATAGCGGCATAATCCGCCAAGGGCTAGTCTGTCTGTCTGTCTGTCTGTCTGTCTGTCTGTCTGTCTGTCTGTCTGTCTGTCTGTCTGTCTGTCTGTCTGTCTGCCTGTCTGTACACCTGAACCACACAACGGGGGCAGGATTTAATCTGATGAATGTAAACGTGTTGACCATATTTCTGCGGTACAATAGGTTAGACAACCAGGGAAACACAGATAATATAGGATGATTGGGGATGGGTGAAAATTGGTGTTTTTGAATGCTCTAATATTTCTAAAACCGAAAATAGGATACCGAAACCTGGCCGTATCCCTACTTAACTACATGTAACACCAGCTGCAGAATGATACTCTGCTTCTTATTCTCTGCATTAGTGCTGGTTTTATTTACTGTGTCCTTTCACTTTCAGGCTGAGGTGCCCAAGCTCCACTGCAGCCACTTCACAACACGATTGTTATAATTATAATCATAATTATGCTACATGTATGCTACATGTATGCTACATGTATTGTCCATGTATTGTGGCGTTGCTCCACAGGAGAATTGTTACAAAAAACATTCTGGCTACAAACCTTGCTACGTTGCTTTGTGTGTGTGTGTGGACAAGACAGCGCAATGAAATCCTTTGTACAATAATTACACCTCACTGTACAGTACATACCATGGTCAGTGAAAGACAAGTGCTGGAAATGATGCAATGAGCGATGCGAGTCTGATTTCCTGCCTTCATGTTGCTTTCGTGTTTGTGTCACACAGTGCCCTTGCACAAGACGTGCGGTTCCGACAAGGTGTGGTTCAAGTCGCAGCTTGGCCCGTACAACCATTCCGCTTCGCACAAGTTTTGTAATGGTCAGCTTCCAGCCTTATCACGAGTTCAAATTCCCTGCTTCAAGGACCTGATCCAAAGCGCTCTTTGGTTGTGGCGTAGACCAGTGGTTATCTTCTGGACCCAAAATGGTGAATTGCTACAGTTCGACGGGGAAAGCTTCGGAATCATTACTCCGCCACCAGCTGCTAGACTTACCAATGTTCTTCGTATCTGCTTTGAAGGTGAGGACCTTTTCAGAAATTAATAGCTTTTTGGTCACCTCATTGGCTGAATCAATATTTTGAAGATCAGGACCTGTCTACTTTCGTCTGATGATTGATTCAGTTCATGAAGCTAAGTTACGAAAAACGCGACTGCTCGTTCTTCTGTCCGTGTATTCCGCTCTTTGCTTTTGGCAAATTGAGCCCTCTACGGATGAAAATCAAGTGGTGAGGATCAGGACCTGTGTTTGCTGGTTGGCTATGCTTGTTTTACTAGGGTATTCCCCCTGATGTCCACCCCCCCTCTGGTGTAAACGCCATTTTACCGGTTCTCCTAGGAGTTGTTTGATTGATGAAAGAAATTCACATGCGGCAAGCCATTGGCAGTGCGTTCTGCCTGTCCGCCCCTAGAAAGGAGAAGACACTGAAACCTTATCGTATTATGCCAAGGTCGATCATCACCGACACAACCATAGGTATCATCACGAACGAACGCGTGACATGTTATGTATCTCTTTCCCACTGATTGTCAAGATTTGAACTGCTGTAAAGTACCGCGAGAGCACCTAGTACCTCGCCCTGAATTATGGAAAAAACAGGACTCTCGTTTCCGGTCATACTGAAGTAGAAGTGAACGTCACACAGTCTGGTGCAAATGAAGTCGTACGGGGTTCACTCTGTTTTTGCAACTTTGGGGTTGCGTCATATTTTACTTGTACGGTGCGTCATGTGAAGTGCAGTGCAGAGCGCTGCAGCCAGCATGAACAACATGGAATTTACCTTCACCAAACCTCGGTTGCTTTACTGCAACAGTCGCTTCGTAGGTGTGTGCATGACCCCAGTACAGACCACCTCACACACTCGCGGCCAGCCTGCCTCCCCAGAGCGACCACGAAAGGACGGGGAGTGAGGAGCTCTGGCGGTACTTTACGGTATTACAAGCTACAGCAATCCCCATATTTGAAATGGAAAAAAGAATAATGACTGGCAGGTTTCCACTAGCAACCTGTTCAAGTATTATAGGGTATTCACACGACGTGAAAATGAACGAAAACACGTTTGTGTAAAAGTGGACAAGCTGCCCATCGCAGTCACACAGACAACAAACCCATGGAAATCTCGCATGCATCTGTGTACTCGAGCATATCCATGTAACTCGAGTACCATGCTCAAGTATTTTCACTGGTCTTACACATGCGCAAAGCACAAACGCGGGCCTAGGACCCCCGAGCAAAGTTTTCAATATGTTGCACGCGTTTTGGTCACACGAGTAAAAAGAGTAGCGCACTCGCGAGTTTGCGTGTCGTGTGAATAACCTATTATGCTGTTGTATGGCTATGACTGTCTTTGTTTGACCAGATGCACTGGCGATAACGACTCAGCCAACAAGCCCACCTGCAGCGCAACCCACAACGCAACGCACAACTCAGCCTACAAGATCACCAACATCCACATCCCTTCCCACAACCCAATCAACAACCGCATCCGCATCCCTGCCCGGTGGCACTCAATCAACCGTAGCCCAACCAGCAACCAAACCCAAAACCCAGACCACAACCAGACACACAGCCCACCCCGCAACCAAACACGCAGCCCAACCCGCAGCAACCCCTCGAACAAAGCGGACCACATCTCGACCTTTGACAGGTACAATGAAAGCAATGGCAGGCACTTCGCAGACACAACAACCAAAAGCGGGCACACCTGGTGCCATTACGTCATCTCGTGCCCCAAGAGGTGAGATGATGATCTTATGTTTCATACTAAGTCAATCCTTGTAACCAAACATACGCCTAGGAGGTTATTTGCTGCACACAGGTCTTATGTATGGTGAATCGGTAATCGTCCGGCTCCATGGGAGCTGTTGAGAACACGCATTCTGTTCCTTAGCACTGCAAACTCAGAACTCATTCAAGTGTACCAGTTTCGAATTTTCAGCAAATTATTATCATCAGGATGTACTCTGAACCTTCAGGCTTGTTATGCAAACCAAGCCTTACCAAGCAGAGGTTTGCCTGAGTTCATGACCATTGATGCTGAGTGCCGGGAACAACCGTGGAACATTTTTTTGACGTTTTCTGCATGTTTATAAATCACTACGCAGCAATGCCGGCCAGTATCGCCAAGCGGTCCTACACACAAAGGATAACCTATGGCAATAGTAGCACGCTGGTGTGCGATGCAACCGGCGACACCCCCATGAACTTGGTCTGGTGGAAGGGTAACCACAAGCTGACGCAAGGCACCGGGCCGCACCTGTCGCTGGTGCTGCAAGGAGTGGAGGCGGATGTTGGTCTATACACATGTACAGCCAGCAACAAAGCTGGCAGTGACTCCATGACAGTGGGCATTACAATGGAAGGTATGCTGTCTGACCTTTGCATGTTGAATGGAAGAGATTTAGGCGATAAGGATATTTCTCACACGCCAATAACAATGCCATTTTCATAGGAGTTTTCAGACTTTCTCTTCTGTATGTAATAATTATTGGGAAATGAGCGATAACGAAAAGCACGCCAGAAAATAGGCAGGCGGGGGGGGGGGGCAGATTACAACTCCCTGGTCAAGATCCACCTTTCCGCTTCCGTGGGACGCCACCACCCCATGATCAGGCGTCAGATGCGGCTCCTAAACGGTGGGGGAGGATAGAGATCCCCCAACCGTTACAAAGATTACAAAGGCAGATCACAAAGGCAGATAACAAAGACAAAGAAATTTCTGACGAAGATACATTTTAGATAAAGGGATATGCAGCTGTGCCTTTGGCCCTGTACTAATATTCAGTTATAGTGCGGTGGTTGATGAAAGATCCATTCCACAGGATGATCCTTGTAGGCATGTGTGAATGCTCGATGAGAGTACAGCTGACAGATCAGCACTCCAGAGCTTTCCCACACCCACACCGTGCAGTGTAAAGTACATTTGTCTCTACTCGGGATTCTTGCATCGCATGAAATGTTTACTTAATAATGGGAAGCAAGAACCTCAACTACACATGATGCAGCATTTGTAAAGTTCGACATACACTCACATTATGATATGTATGGACAGTTTATAGGCTAGTTACCAGTGCAGTAAAGCATGTCAAGGCAACCACTCGGATAAGGCGACCACCTGTCCTAGAAGACCACTGAAACCAGGATCAAGTGATGCTCGTATTTCCAGTCAATTGACCCTGTACTGTAAATATACAAATTTTCGGCAGCTATTTAATTTCGGCTATATTCGGCACCGACCTAAAATGCCTAAATTATAACGCCAATGAAAATTTTCACAGCATCTGTCGCACTATACCATGCCCTCTACCCCACGCCGAAAATAAATCGCCGCCGAAATGTCAAAAATCGTAAAGTGCCGAAATTTTGCAGCGCGGAAATTGTGTATATTTACAGTATAAGGAGACCACCTGGTAACAGAGACCACGTCTTGAAGGTCCCATGAGCGGTCGTCTTAGCCAGGTTCCATTGTAATGTGATACGTATTATTTGAAACAGAAGTCTTGGACTCAGTATAACATTAAGGTAAAAGACTGTGTATAAAGCACATGCCACCGGGTGTGCAGATGACCCATGCCCTCCCCTCCTCCCCCCCCCCCCCCTCTTTGAGATCCTGGATCCGCCACTAAGAATTATCGGGGGGGGGGGGGGGGATTTTGCGAAGCAGGGAACTCGAGAAGAGACACATTCTCTTC